ATAAAATCTTCGAAAACATAACACATGAGCCAAGAAACAAGAATATAATTGACCTTGGTATGTCACAATAGTCAACGTTTAATAGCCGCCTATTGGTAGTTGAGTGACTAAGGACATGGAGGCCGACATCAATATCCTCATATAAGTGTACTGATAAAGACACATGTTGATATGTACTTAACTAGTCGCTACGACAAAAGATAAATTGCTTTATTAGGTACATGAAACCAAATGCATTCTCTCTTGAATCATTTTTAAATCTTCAAAGCTTTTTATATTTTATACACTTCTCTATGTATGCTGACTTGAGGGACACAATGGGGGAGAGTGCTCTTTTTCATGTAATTGGAGCAGCATAAGAACTCATTCCTGTGACTTCCAGCCTTTCGAGCATCATTTGATGCCATTCATGAGATTCCTTTGGGATAAGAAAAATCATATATCTAGGTAGTGGAGACCTAGAAATGGAGGTGTTTTGCCATCTCCACCACCAGAACCCACCACTAACCTTTTTTTACCCTTGACTAGTCCAACGTGTTCCTTGCTTCAAAATCAGGTTCAAACGAGGCAAGACCACCCAGTGTTCCTAGAGCTTTGAGAAAAATAAAATTGATCAACCGTTGTGTAGTGTGAGCTCCTCTAACACCTCAACTGGTGGTGATACATAATGTTATTCTGATTTAGAGACCATATTTAGTGACTGATCTAGACGAAATAAACTTTAGCAACCAAATGAGAAATTAACCAACCCACAATTAAACATGGGGCGGCTTAACATTATTACTGTATAGTGATTTTAATCTATAACTCACAAAACTAACAAAACTGCTGAATATTTGTTCAAAATCAATGGAATGATAATGGATTAATTGTTGGGCTAAATTGTGAAATTGGTAGAATCAAAAGAAATTGAAAAATGAAAATTTTGATTTTTTGGCTATGCGTACGCACAAGCTTATTTTTGTGCATACACAAGATGTATTTTGGTAAAATCAGAATTAAATTTTGCTTCTACTATGCGTACGCACGGTTTATACTATGCGTACGCATAGTGTTAAAAAATAGCCGTTACCTAGTTTTTCAATTTGAAATTTGGGAGTCGTTTTGGATTAAAAGTTGCCACTTTTCATCTTGTTTTGACAACATTTCGTAATGTATTGATTGAGGCCTATAAATAGGTGATGAATAATCAATACAAATACATTACAAACAAGAAAAAATCTTGAAATTCATATATTGTTCCACAATTAATCAAATCCCTGTTATAACTCATATTCATTTCTTCTTTATTGTGTTCATCAAGTTTTGGTGGAAAATTTCTCGTGCTTTGTTATTTTCTGCATCAAGACTTGTTAAAATCATTCAAACCATTTGCCATAACACCCTTAAGCATCTCATTTCATTTGGAGAGAGGACAAATATAATTTGAGGAAAACGATCCCAGGTTTAAGCCTCAAATTCATTCTTGACGTATTTCGTGATTTCTATTTATTTTGTTTCTATAATTTTGTTGTTGTTTCTTTTCCAACCCCTTATTTCCCAACAAACTCAAACTATAGTTCGCAATAGAGAATGATACAACTATGGCAACCATCAAACTCATGAATCAAGATCTGATTAGATTGGATCGTTTTGATAGGACCAACTTCACGCGGTGGCAAGACAAGTTGAAATTCTTCCTAACGGCATTGAAGATTTTTTATATTCTTGATCCAGATTTGGCGCCTTTGTCGGAACCAACGAATGGAGAATCCGAAGCAATCAAAACCGAGAGACAAAAAAGCCAAGAAGATGAATTGATTTGCCGTGGCCACATCTTGAATGCATTGTCGGATCGTTTGTATGATCTATACACCAATACAACTTTGGCGAAAGAAATCTGGGAAGCATTGGAACGTAAGTACAAGGCGGAAGAAGAAGGTACAAAGAAATTTTTGATTTTTAAGTATTTTGATTTTAAATTCTTAGAAAATATTCCTCTTCTTCTCCAAGTGCATGAGTTGCAAGTAATTGTCAACAAATTAAAGGTGGTAAAAATTGATATACCGAAGACTTTTCAAGTAGGGGCTATAATTGCCAAACTTCTCAGAACTTGGAAAGGATATTGAAAGAAGATCATGCATAGTTCCGAAGATTATTCTTTGGAACAATTGCAAAAGTATCATTGAATCGAAGAGGAGTCGAGAATACGTGATAAAACTGAAAATTCTCATGAGGGCTCTTCTAAAGCAAATGCTGTGGAAAAAATAGGACCACCGGCAAAATCCAACAAAAGGAAGCCTTCTAGGAACTTTAACAAGTCCAAGAAGAAGACAAAAGGATGTTGTTTTGTGTGTGGAAAATCCGGTCACTATGCCAAGGATTGTAGGCATCGAAAACAAAACAACTTCCAGGCCAAAGTGAATTCCATCCAAGATGACAAAATTGTAGCCACCATAAGTGAAGTAAACGCAATCAAAGAAAATGTTTCCGGGTGGTGGTATGATACTTGTGCTATGGTACATGTATCATTTGATAAATCTTTGTTCAAAACTTATCAAGAAGTGGATGGAGAACAAGAGATTCAAATGGGTAACGAAATGTGGTCTAAGGTGTTTGGAAAAGGAAGTGTAGACATTATCTTCACTTCTGGGAAAATCGTTACTCTAACTAATGTACTACATGTTCCGGATATGAATAAGAACCTAATTAGTGACAATCTCTTAGAAAAATCGGGCATCAAATGTGTTTATGAGTCTGGCAAATTTGACGATCCCTTAATGGGAAATTTGTTGGAAAATGCTATTTGTGTGAAGGAATGGTCAAATTATGTACTGTTGACAATGAAATGAAAAAAAATAATTTTGCTTATGTTGTAAATTTATTTTCATTATGGCATGCTAGATTAGGTCATGTTGGTAGAAATACAATGAAACGCATGAAAAATTATGACTTGATCTCATATGATGAAAATGATGAACATAATAAAAAATGATGGAAGGGTGATTGTTCAATTGGAATATGCAAGTGCTATAGGGAGTCTTATGTATGCTATTCAATGCACAAGACCGGATATAACTTATGCAATAAGTAAACTTAGTAGGTTTACTAGTAATCCGAGTAATAATCATTGGAAGGCTATTGTGAGAGTTCTTGGATACTTAAAGAAAATCAAGAACTTGGGCCTACAATATACTAAATTCTGGGTAATATTGAAAGGATTTACTGATACTAGTTGGATATCTAGCACGGGTCAAAGTTAATTCACTTCGGGTTGGGAATTCACTCTTGGAGGAGGTGTTGTTTCTTGGAAATCAAACATATATAACACACTCGATCATGGAATCTGAATTTGTAGCTTTATCGGATACCAGGAAAGAGGTTGAGTGGCTTAATGATATCTTATATGAGATACCTTTGGGATCGAAGAATATCTCTTCAATATCTATCATGTGTGATAGTCAAGCCACGTTAGCAAAGGTATATAACGAGGTATACAATGGAAAGTCTAGACATATGAGTCTGAGACATCACTACATAAGGAAATTAATCAAAGATGGAATAATTTCCCTAAATTATGTAAGGTCAATTGAGAATTTAGCGAATTCTTTAACTAAAGCACTAAATAGAGATTTAGTGGTGTCTACTTCGAGTAGGATGGGGTTGAAACTTCTTAACTAAAAAGGTCCACCAATGACGACAACCCTACCTATCATTACTCAAAAAGTAATCCACGGGTTCAAAGGGTAACAACAAGTCATTCGATATGTGGATGGTTGCAGCATTATTCAAATTCGCAATAACCCTATCCTAATTAAATAATGCTGGTTGTAACTGAAGTGAGGGTTGAGCTTAAAACTCTTAATAAAGTTCAGTGCTAAAACACAAGTACCTCTAAAAGTAACAAAGGTACTGGAAGAACTTCACCTAGACTAATTTCGAGGTGGTACCACCTCAATAGAGAATTGGAGTTTCTCTCTTAAAAGTTTATCGAATAGGATGAGCGCAAGGCCATAAAAGCGTTAAGCGAGTTGAGGAACTTGAGAACACGTGATACTTATGTGTGTGTTCTTACCGATTTTGTCACAAGGAATAATTGATTCAAAGCTTCCATGTTATCTCTAATTCCGACTTTACTTTGTTTGAATTACACTATGGTTAGATTCAAATCGAAAGATATCTAATTCTTATGCATAAGTGTCGTCTTTTTAAATATATGATCGTATTGATTTTGAACAAGTGAGGGATTGTTAAATATTTGTTCAAAATCAATGGAATGATAATGGACTAATTGTTGGGCTCAATTGTGGAATTGGTATAATCAAAAGAAATTGAAAAATGAAAATTTTGATTTTTTGCCTATGCGTACGCATAGGCTTATTTTTGTGTATACACGAGATGTGTTTTGAAAAAATCAGAATTAAATTTTGCTTCTACTATGCGTACACACGGTTTACATTATGCGTACACATAGTGTTAAAAAATAGTCGTTGGCTAATTCTTCAATTTGGGAACCGTTTTATATTAAAAGTTGTCACTTTTCATCTTGTTTTGGCACTATTTCGTAATGTATTGATTGAGGTCTATAAATAGGTGATGAATGATCAATATAAATACGTTACAAACAAGAAAAACATCTTGAAATTCATATATGGTTCCACAATTAATCAAATCCCTATTATAACTCATTCATTTCTTCTTTATTGTGTTCATCAAGTTTTGACGAAAAATTTCTCGTGCTTTGTTATTTTACTTGTTAAAATCCTTCAAACCATTTTCCATAATACCCTTAGGCATCTCATTTCATATGAAGAGGGGGCAAATATAGTTTGAGGACAACGATCCCGTGTTCAAGCCTCAAATTCATTCTTGACGTATTTTGTGATTTCTATTCATTTTGTTTCTATAATTTTGTTGTTGTTTCTTCTCCAACCCCTTATTTTCCAACAAACTGCACCAAAAAGAATTTGTTTTATCGAACATTTTATCAGTGGATTCCTTTCAGTAACATATTTGGTTCATTATGCTAAAGTGGTTTTTTCACAACCATCATGCACAGAGGCTAAGACATCTTTGTAGTCTCTTGAGCTAGTGAAAGAATCATACACCTTTCCATCGCTGCTCTTCTTGTATTCGAAAAGAAGGGATGAGTGGTTAAATGCTGTCAATTTGACAAAACCAAAATCATAATCACGGTACAGACTCCAACTAATGGTAATCGGACTGCACTTTGATAAATGGCTCCCTCCTCCACCAACGACAACGTGTATTGTCCCATTCACAATGCCAGAGTAGTGTGATCTTTCCGAGTTCACACATTGATTCTACAGAAAAAAAATTGAAAAAACTTCAACAATTAGGAAAAGTGCAAGAATCCGTCCATAGGAGTTAACCTTAACACTTAAGAGAGATATTTTATGCAAAAATAACAAGGAAAAAATAGCCTAGTGCATATAGAAACAATAACATTTCAACTTATTTTTCTTCATGAATCCTATCAATCCAAACATGCCACAGAGGTTTACCTGGTAAATTGGGCAAGTTCTTTCATAATTGTGGACATGGCCAAAGAACGCAATGTCAACCTTGTACTTTTGCCAGAGCTTTTGCAAGCTTTACCTTCCCATGGGCTCTTCAAATGAACCTTCTAGTCCATACCAATTGTAAGAAGAATAACCAAGGACCCTATGAGCAGCAAAGATTAACCAAGGCTGTTTTTGCCTTTCTGCTGATGCAAGGCAATGTTCGATAAAGTTGTGCTGCTCTGATCCCTCTCTCCAATCATGTTCAGTATCTGCTATGCAGAAGTAAAACATACCATAATCTGTCGAGAACTTGTAATTGAAGTTTATGTCATCTTTTGATATCGTATGTGATTACCATACAAAACACAGTCCCAATAGCAAATAAATGTAAACTTTTACCACTAATAACAGAACTCCAGAATATTAGATAAAATTGCTAAATCTATTTAGCAAGATGCTTTCTTGTTATATATACTACATGGAGCCTAACCGCATTGTACATTTTCCCTGCTCGGGGTTCGCGGGGCAAAGCCCTAGAGGCAAATTTTTTATCCAAAAGAATATTTGATAATCCCTTCATGTATCAGGTCACCCTAAAATTCAAATCAAATATTAAAGATTTTAAAGAGGGGTTTGCATCTTTGTATAGACAAGACTAATAGGTGTATAAAAAATCTTACAAGCTCCTTTATAATAGTGAAAAATCGGTGCAGGAGTATATGTATCTTTGACTGCTACCATACAGGAAATTTATAACGCATACTCAAATTATTGAGATCAAGATAAACAGAGCTCAATAAATAGTCAGTTTTCCAACTTTTTACTTGAGAAAAGAATGAATCAGTTACCAAAACTTGGCTCTATTCTCAGCAGGAACGTAGAACATGGTCTCAGCTGGCACGCCACATTCACCACCGGAATGAGTAGTTTCATAGAAGGATCCTGTCCCAGGCCAATCACGCTCGTGATTGCCACTGTAGAACAAATTGATATTACACATTTGTAAATATTTAGCGAAGATAAAAATGCAAATTCAAAAAAATGAAATGTGTTATCACATTATAAACAAACACACCTTGCAATCATGTAAGGCACAGTTGGTGCCATAGGTTCCACCTATGCTGTGAATTGGTCCCACTGTGAGATATAGCCATTTGAATATGATATCTCCTATATGGAAAACACTGTCAATATTCATCACATCCTGGATGAGTTGATCTGTGGTATTCAGAGAGTCAGGTTGATAATTGCTATAATCATTTGAACCATCACGTTCTGCCTGAAAATCATAGTATCTCCTTTTAAATATATCAAACACGGACAAATAAATTATATACATTTTCGCATGGACTTTCAACATGCCTCGGCACTAGATACCAAAGACACCATTGTAGTTCATAACCATCACACAACAGCTGAAGACGCCCTTATTAGTTAGACATTATTTCTCACAACCAGCTCCATAATCACTTCATTTGACTCGAATCTTTTCAGATTATAAGTATATGATAAAGTCTTTCCATCGTCTTTCAGTATTTCTTTAGTTGGGATTGAGGAAAGAAAATATATACATTTTTGTGAGAATATGGTTCTCTTAACTCCATTAAACTTAAGTGCTATTTGTGTAATTCACATGGATTGTGCTTGTCTAGTTTTATTATGGACCATTGGATGGGATCGACGGTCGGGATTTAATCTATGTGAGATATTTTTGTTGCCTTGTCTTGGGGGAGAAGCTTTGACTAGATGGTTACCACAAAAAGGGCTTCCCCCACGTTTTGGCAGGACAGGTCTTTTCTCTCTTCTCCAGTCGACCACTCTGTCCATTTTTGCACCTTCTTGTGAGCTTCTTCTTGAGAGTCCCTTGAGATAACTTAGGCTGGAATAGTGGCTAAGTATAGTTGAACTTTCTCAAAGCTTGGTAGAAAGTTGAGGGTGCGTTGGTGGCGGTTTCTAGCGAGGTTCTTTGCCGGTTTCTCTTTCTCTCTTTGGAAGGTGATTTGCATGACATGGGAGCTGTTCCTGAGCCTATAAATCAGTCATAAGGAAGAGGAGAAGTTGCTATCCATTTCGGCCGAAATTGGGTTGTGTTTTTCCATTTTATATTCCTTGATTTTGCCTTGAAATCTTTTATTGATTGATGTTTATTGTTTGATTGAACTCCAAGGATCCTAACAAACTGGTATCAGAGCAAGGAGGAGTGAAATCTGTCCAAAAATCGATCGAAACCTCCAAGGAAATCGCGATTCCCACTTTTGGCCAATTCTGAAACTTCAAATTTCGGCCAAACTGCTGACTTTTTGGCGAAACTGACCCTGGACCCATAACCAGCAGACGAAGGCACTCTCTGTGGTGTGGCGCGTGATCGGAGCGGCGATCGGCGGCGCGTGAACTCCGATGACGGCGCGTGGCTGGACATTCCGACGAGCTTTTTTCGGCCAGTTTACTTATTTCGATGTCCTGAATGCACTGATGTCATTTGTTTTCTCTTTCAGGTTTTACAGAAAAAGTTGGACGATTTTGCCCCTGGCTTGACGTCTACAGCAATTCGGTTCAGAAACTTGGTGGTATATTTATTGTTTTTCAACAATAGTTTGGTAAGATTATTCCAAACTCACCGTTAGGTTAGGTTTGGTATCCTTACCGGTTTATGCATGATTATTGCTTGGTTGCCTATTTGTGAATTCCGTCGATTGAATTCTTGTGATTAATTTGTAACCTGGAAGCATATTTACTTGCATTATATACCTGTGTTTCGTGAACGAATTATGTCATTGTTGTGCTTCATTTCTAAAATTGTTTTTTTAACTCGGCATTCATATTTTTATATTGATCATTTGGAAAAGAAATTTTCAAAACCTTTTCTGTTTTGTCCACGAGTACAGGCCACTCTTTTACAGAATCTATAATGGGTTCGAGGGTCGAATTATCGCAATTGGATGGAAAGGGGGTTTACTCGATATGGAAACAGAAAATGAGGGTCATTTTGGTCCAACAGAGAGTTGCTAAAGCTCTCGATGATCCCACTACATTTTCTGATGAGTTAAAAACTAAACCAATTGAAATTGAAGACATGAATGAAATTGCTTACAGTTCTATAATTTTGCATCTATCTGACAACATTGTGAGACAAGTTGATAGTGCTAAAACTGCTGGAACTTTGTGGACTGCTTTAGATGCCTTGTTCTTAACAAAAACTTTACCTAACAAAATATACCTGTTGGAAAAGTTGTTTAGTTTTAAGATGGACCCGGGGAAGGATGTCGAGGGAAATTTGAGTGACTTTAGCATAATTGTTAAGAGTCTAGCTCATAATGATAAAAAATTTGACGATGAGGATTTAGCTGTCATATTGCTAAACTCTTTACTCGAATCTTACAGAGAAATGAAGAATGCTATAAAATATGGTAAGGACACTCTCACTCAAGCTATTGTTTCCGATGCTTTAAAATCAAGAGAACTTGAATTAAAAAGAGACAACAGAACTCATTCCCGGGAAGAGAGTCTATTTGTTAGGGGAAGACCTGAAAAGAAAGAATTTAACTTCCATAACAAGAAGGGGAGAGGAAAATCTAAAATGAGATCTAAATCTAAAGATAAAAGCGGAAAGAAATGTTATCACTGTGGAAAGTTAGGACATTTCAAGGAAGACTGCTTCGACTGGAAAAGGAAACAAAAAGACCCGAACAATTCTGATGTTGATAATGCTGCTATTGTTTCTGAATTTGATCGTTTGCATGTCATGAATGTGTCTGAGGAAGAATTTGACAAAAATTGGATTCTAGACACAGGGTGCACTTTCCATATGTGCCCTGATAGGTCTTGGTTCTATAACTATAGAGAGACTGAACCTAGGAAGGTCTACATGGGAGACAATAATTCTCAAAATGTGGTTGAAGTAGGTGACATAGCCATCAGAATGTACGATGGGGCCGTCACGCAACTCAGAAATGTTAGATATGTCCCAAATTTAAAGAGGAACCTCATTTCCTTAGGTTCTCTTGAAGATGAGGGATATACCTTCAAGTCTGGTAACAAGATTTTGAAAATTATGAAGGGTTCTCTCATAGTTATGAAAGGGCCTAAGAGGAATGGATTGTACTATCTTGAGAGTAGAACTGAATACCAGTTGATTCTAGCCTTCTTACTGTGAGTAAAGATAAAACTGAACTTTGGCATAACAAAATGGGTCATATTGGGTTTAAAGGGCTAAAATCTTTAAGTAATCAGAAATTACTTGGAAAAGATGACATCGAACTATGGAATTCTTTGAAACTTGTGTTTTGGGTAAGTCCCATAAGGTGAGCTTTGAAGCTAGCTCTCATAGGACCAGCAGACCATTGGACTATGTCCATGCTGATTTATGGGGCCCGGAGAAGCACTCCACATTTGGTGGAAGCAAGTACTTCTTGTCCTTAGTGGATGATTACTCAAGAAAAGTTTGGATTTATCCTTTGAAGGCTAAGTCGGAAAATTTTGGGAAATTCAGGGTTTGGTTAAAGTCTGTTGAGAATCAGTTAGACAAGAAACTTAAAACATTAAGAACTGATAATGGGCTTGAATTCTGTAATATCGAATTTGACAACTTCTGTAAGCATAAAGGTATAACAAGACACAGAACTGTTAAATACACACCTGAACAAAATGGGGTCGCTGAAAGAATGAACAGGACCATAATGAACAAAGTTAGGTGTATGTTGATTAGCTCTGGCCTTGCGAAAGGTTTTTGGACTGAAGCTGCAAGTACTGTAGCTTATCTGATTAATAGGTCTCCATCCAGCAGTATAGGGTTTAAGACCCCACAGGAGTTGTGGACGGAAGAGCCTCCAAATC